GTACCGGTCCGAGGCCCGGGGGTTGGGGACCGCTGGACTAGATGATGGGTTCCCAGACTGATCCCCTCAGAATCCCAGAAATCCCTAAATCTTGAAATGTTAACAGTTCTGACTGAATGATTGACTACTGGGGAGATTTAAGTGGTGGCTTTAATTTTCCTGTTTCAGGTTGAGTTAAAAACAAATGTGTTCCCATGTTTCCCAAAGCAGAACTTGTATTAATATTATTTATTTCCTAGACGTGTTTAGGTTGAAATACGCTGCATTCATTTGCTCTCCTGTGGAAGCAATGCCATATTTAATCTGGCTGTAATGGTAGTTTGGCTCTCTGGTCTATTTGAACAGCACTAGCTTGCGTGTGCATATGGTGAGTCGGTGGGAACTGCTTTCATTTGAAGTTAGGGAAATAATACCTCAGCTTCAGCAATTAAAAGACTGCATCCACGGGTCAGTCCTCAGACGAACTGGAGTACGAGTCTCAGAGAAGTGTTTCTGCTGTTTTGCAGTCTGCTGGCATGCAGCCCACTCAGCACGGGAGATGTGAAAGACTGGCGCTCGTCCAGGCTCAGTGTTGGGAAAAAGTCACATGACTCACTCTCGACGAGTGAATGAAACTAACTTAAGCCTGAACACATTGTGTAATGCAAACTAGCATGAGTAAAGAGATATAAAATCAGTGTTTCATGGGAGATTGATGTGGGCGTGAGGGTATATAAATAAGAGTTTTCAAAGGGAATTATGAAACATTATTTATGACAGGACTGCGCAGAGTGTGAGTCTGAACTGAAGAAAAGGGATCATCTTCTGCCCTTACTTTGCGTTTCGGTTAAATACTTAAACAGAGAACTGATTATTAAAGTAGGATACTGTATTTCTAAAGACGTTTAAAGGCAAATTTCCAAACTCCATATTTCTTTGGGTTTAGGGCTTTGTTCAACCTCCTGGTGTTTTGCAATTTTAAATAGCAGAAATATTCTCTACCCATGAATGTTTATCATATTTCTAACCCTAAAGGGAAGCAGAAAATCCAGCATTAAACATCTCCTCATCTAAATGAACAGTAAATAATAAAAATACTGGCGGCCACCTGGTAGAAACACTTATGCTGTCCGCTATCAACTTCAAAATTTGACAACACCTTGCCAGACCCAAAGATTTTTAGTAGATACGCCGATGATACGAATATGAAACTCTGATGTCGCCTCGTTCTTGAGTTATCGCCTTCACAAACTTGGGTGTCCACGCCGCCCACCCGGCCTCTCACCTGGCGGCTTAAAAACGGCTGAGGAGTAAAAAACATGTGTTTGACCTTGGCGAAGTTTATTCTTTTAGTTCTGTAGACACACACTGTCCTCACAGCCAGAGACAAGCAGAAAAATGGGAGGAGCTGTTCATGAATGCACCTGTAGCGTTTAACCCTCTTTCTCCGTGTTTTGAACATCAAGGCTTATTTGTCTCTTTCCTCCAGGCGTTTGTGTGCACGCAGACTCACACTTACCCGCAGGTCTCCGTTTGCCAGGTGTGGGTTGTGATGTCCAGGGTAGGTGCTGTAGATGGGCTCTTTGCAGTAAATCTTAATTACGCAGCGGTCCTGAACGTCCCGTGGGTCCTCCAGCTCATAGAAGACATTACGGGTCTCATCTTTAATCAACAGAGCCGTGCTGGGAGACCTGAATATCAATAGTTGTCAACGCACACACACAAAAAGACGCAAACACTGATAAACGGTCCATGCAAAGACAATTTCAGCATCTGTTACACACTAATATGATACAGTGATGTATGTATTGGAGAGTGGGAGGAGGATTTCTAACTGCATGAGGTGCTCGTAATGAGAGAATCAGCTGGAAGCGGACTGATATCAGGTTAATCAGAAATCTAATGTTCAGTGTTTAACCCTTTAAGACCTACCATAGAACCAAGTCCGCCAGAGCTTATATTATATTTTTACATGCTGTGGAGCCATTTTTGGGAGCATTTCAAGTTG